ATCAACCAGTAGATTATCCAGTACCATTGTACTGTGATAACCAATCGGCCATTCGCTTGGCGGAAAATCCAGTCTTTCATGCAAGAACTAAACATGTGGAAGTGCACTACCACTTTATCAGAGAAAAGGTTCTACAAGAAGAGATTGAGATGAGACAAGTCAAGACGAATGATCAAGTTGCGGACTTGTTCACAAAAAGTTTAAGTACAGGCAAGCTCGAAAATTTTTGCTGTCTGCTCAGCACAGTGCAAAGAATGAGAGCTGACATTGAGGGGGAGTGTTGAAAATCAATGTCAAAGATGTTGAAAATCAATGTCAAAGTTAGGTATGGAAAATTAGGCAATGTTAGGCATGGTTGAATAAAAATAAATTAGGTGAAATTAATGTGTTTTGTGTGGTAATAAATAATCTTAGTTTATTCATTTGGTTTGCTATAAATACCCAAGTTCTCAAGCATTGTAAATCATCCAAGGAAAAACAAAGCCTAGAGCTAAATAAGAAAAGCTTTGCTAACTAGTTTGTTTTGTGAGCTTTCTTTAAGAGTGTGTTCTATTTTCTTCTTCTTGGGATCATTAGAGTTATCTTGGATACTCTTCTTATTCAACAAGTACTGCCACCACCAAATGAATGTTGCTTTCCAAGTAAGGTTTCAATTTGAAATAAGTCGTCAACATCATCAAGAACAATCAAAACCCTTTTCATCTGTAGCCTTTTCAAAATCATTCTGTAACCTCGATCCAATGTGCCTAAACTCTGCACCTTTTCATTCAAGATTCTAGAGAGAAATTTTTCCTGCATTGTACGGCACCACAAGTGGAGAACTCTTCCTTGACATTGTCAAGAAAGCAACAAGCTTCAAATTGACAAGCAATTTCCTCATAAACAGCTCTAGCTATGGTGGTTTTGCCTATACCACCCATACCCCATATTCCAACAACACGAATGTCGTCCATTTCAGGAGCAGGATGTAATAGCAAGTCCATTTCATGCATGTGGGAATCCATTTCAACCAAGTCATCGTCTTTACTTGACGAGGCACGGATCAATTTCTGGAAAATATCTTTTACAATTTCCTCAATGAGCTTGGCATCATCCCTGTGGAATAAGAAAAACATTATTGTAAGAGTAAGATCAAGAGCAAGTGAAAACCGTATACATAGTCATACATTTGCTAGGAAAACATGACAAAGAATTAATAATAAACGTTAAAAAAAAAATCCCAAATTACGAAACTACAATAACTAAATATTACTCGTAATTTTTCGAATCCCACCCGGATAAATTGGTGGCTCAACTAAGAGCGGACCTCCACCTCCGCACCTCTTCCATGTCAGTGTTAGAATGGCCTTTATGCTCGGCAAAAGCTTCCTCAAAGCTCCTCTTTGCTTTGCGGACATCAGAAGGATCCACTTGGTAAAAAACGGGCACAACCATCTGGTTCTTTCCATCCATACATTCCAGTATTTGGACGAGCTCCTTCAAGCACCATGTGGAAGAAGCATAGTTTTGAGAAAAAAAACTACGATTGAAACGCTCAAATCTTACTTGAGAGTTAACATGGTTATTTCTTTGCAAATACCATATTGACCATATTGTATGAAGTTCAATACATTTGTCTTTGTCATTAGGCGGCAACATGACAACAGGTTACATCTATTATGTTAAAATGGTGTTGTCTATTGTCATTAGGCAGCAACATGCCTACAGGTTATATCTATTATGATATCTTAATACTGAGTTTCCCTAATGGACCTATATTGGTGTTTTATTGTTCTACGCAAAATACGACATGTACATACTATGCCACAGATAATTTCTCTTCTATTTTCTTTGTGTAGGCATATGATATTTAGTATGAGAAATTAAATAAATTTAATTGAAAATATGACTTTAGTCCCTGAAACTTAATTTTTTCCAGATAAAACCCAACATAAGTTTTTTACTAGAATAAAACTCATTGACTAGATTCCATATCAGGAAATTTATTAATTATATTTGACATTAGACATTTAAAAAATTTTGATGCCCAAAACACCCCTATTTGAATGTTTGATCTACACAATTATTCCATACAAATTGTAAGGGAGAATTAATGATTTTACAAAAAAAAAATATATATATTAAATTCGTTGCATAATATATAATAACAATAAAACATGCCTAATAAATGTAGTAATACATACTTAGTTGAGTCAATAAAATTATGTTTTACATATAAATGTAGCTAAATTATTTCACAAACACACATATATATATTACATATAAATGTAGGTAAAATTTTTCTTTGAATACTAATTGTCCTTTTGGAAAACCCGTTTGTGAAATGCAAGGGCAAGGCATTATTCAAAAATGTTTATTTATTTATTTTTATACTTTGATGAGTTTGTTTCATGAAAATAAAATGATTATCTGATTTCTATAATATATTTCAAATACAAGGAATGAAGATGATGGTTGGTACTTATAGAAAAAAAAAATTGGGTTTTTTTTTGGTATTTTTTTAGTTTTTGGGTATATTTTTTGAATTTTTTTATGTCACATCCCAGACTAGCTCCACCGTAGCATGATATTGTCCGCTTTGGGCTTACCATTCCCTCACAATTTTGTTTCTAGGAACTCACGGGCAACTTCCTGGTGGGTCACCTATCCTAGGATTGCTCTGGCCCAATCTCGCTTAACTTCGGAGATCCGATTGAACCCGAAGGCAATGAGTTCCCAGAAGGCCTTGTGCTATAGGGAGGGGACTATGTACATATAAGGCATATCATCCCCTCTACGTTGGTCGATGTGGGATCTTACAATCCTTGGTATCAGAGCCACTTTGCCGTTCAGTGCGGATGTGCCGGCGAGGACATCGGGTTCCCTTTAAGTGGGATGGATTGTAAGATCCCACATCGACCAACGGAGAAGGGGTGATGTGCCTTATATGTACATGCTCCCCTCCCTATAGCACGAGGCATTTTGGGAGCACACTGGCTTCAGATTCCATGGGAACTTCGAAGTTAAGCAAGTTTGGGCGAGAGCAATCCTAGGATGGGTGATCCACTGGGAAGTTCTCACATAAGTTCTTAGAAACAAAACTGTGAGTGTATGGTCGGGGCCAAAGCGGACAATATCGTGCTATAACGGAGCCGGTCTGAGATGTGACATTTTACCTTTAGAATAATCTTGGCCGTTTAAAATCCAAATTATTTATATTAGATGCCCCATATTGTGCTGCTTAAAATTTTGCAACTTTTTTTATTATTGGAAATCCAACAGCACAAGTTGGAGGAAAAATGAATCATTTGGCTCAGGGCTGTGCATATGGGTGGCCCCATTATGTCATCTCCTATAGCTAGCGAGCGTAAGCTCAGACAAAAGTTGCAGGGGTAGCTGAAAGAGCACAAGCCCTTGGTCCAATTGCCCTCCATTTTTTGCGTCAGTGGACCACCTTTTTGCAGCCAAAGGCAATTCAACCTAATTGCCTTATCACTTGGGCAACCGGTGGACTTGCTCTTAAGAGGGCAAGGGCAAGGGCACGTAAATTGCCCTTTAAAAAGTGATTACCTTTGTGTAAGTCCACCCGTTGAGTTAAAGGCAAGGACAAGGACGATTCATATTTACAAATGTGGTTTTTTTTTTATTTTAATTTTAAAGCATAATTATGTGATTTAATAACTAGCGGACGCATTAGATTTTTTATATGGTAGTGAAGAAGATGGTTGAACGTTTATAGAAAAATATATATTATTTTTGCATTTTTAAATATATTTATTTTTGAATTTTCATTAATTTCTCTAAATTTTAAAACCTTTATTCGAATTTTTAAATTATTAAAAAAAATTGAACAAGATTAATTTTTGCGGTTGAATCTTAAGACCATTTCAAATCCAACTGCCCATTAAATGCCACGTGTATAGTTGTTGGGGAGCTGAGTTGCTTTGACAACTTGGGGGTCCATGATAGCAGCAATAGTCAACCCACTATCTCCCATCACGCATCAAACACAAAAAATAAAATAAAAATGAATGTGGCTGACACCGTGTTGATGTCAACCTTACCCACTAGCACAAAGCCGAGCTCAAGCTACTAAAGCTTTTGGACAGGCATGTGTTGGCCCACCAATTGCCCTCCACCAAATGGACTGCTGGAAGTGGTTTTTTGGAGGACAAGAGCAAGGCAAGTGCAAGGGCACTAAAGCTGCTTACAAATTTTATAACTATAAGATCGTGAAAACATACTATAGGCAAGCAACTTGCACAGGATGAGTTAACATTCATATATTCACAAAAGGTGTCTTTCTTGCAGAGTTGAGGTTGCACACTCTAGCTTGCAAGACCAAAATGTGTTAATATGGAGAGCAACTTGCACAAGTTGAGTTCAATGTCACGTGAAGTCTCGACCCAATAATATCATGTCACGTAGAAAAAAACTTAAACTTGGTATGACATTATTGAACTAGGATGTCTGGTAACGGTAATCTTGTTCCCAATTAATATTTCTTGTTAATAATGGGGGATTTGGGTATGGTAAGACATTATTGTACTAGACGCCTCGGTAATCTTGTTCCCAATTAATACTTCTCATTAATATGAGGGATTTGGATTTGGTAGTTACAGTCAGAGTGTACATGTACAGACACATTGATGCATTCATGTACCACTGCACTATAATGACTTCAAGAACAAGCATTAAGTTGCGAACTGAATTAATAACGATTGAGTTGGACTGAGCATTTAATTCTTCGAGCACTTAATTGGTTTGCTAGTCTACCTTCTTCTTGCTGGTCCATAAACTGGAGCTGGGCTGAGTGATCTGCTGACAACTTTAAAGCTTTGAAGCAGATCCTCAGGCTTTTGATGAACTTCAAAAAATGGCTTCTTTTCACCGGAAAATTCATGACTTCTCTTCAAATACACATCTTAAAGCTCCCCATTTTCTAGTAGTTGTTCCGAAGTCTATTTGCACACAGACCAAAATTGTGAGTGCCTCTCTCTCTCTAACTGTAGTCTGTACCTGCTTACATTTATGCATGTACTCGTATTTAATGTCCGTGCTTGATTTCGGAGATTAGTTTGAAACAAAAAACGAAATGGTTATCAAATGTTCCTTATTTTTTTTAGTTCTCAAAATTTAGCTTTTAAGTTGTTAGTTTTTGGTTTTCTGAAAGCTGAAAATGAAATGGTTATCAAACGGCACCAAAGTATTTAACCCCTCTCACAATGAAGAGTCGGACAAAATGGGATTTGATGCAGTTAATGTACCCATATGTTTCATAGCGACAAAGATCAGATAATTGTTTTCACTATACGAACAGTTTCGTGATAAGTTTCGTTTTGTGCAGAGGATTCCAAACAATTTTTTAGGAAATATGGAGATGATCTTTTGAATCCAGTATTTCTTAAGCTTCCAACTGGTTCAGAGTGGAAAATAGAACTGAGAATATAGGAGGGTGAGGTCTGGTTCGGCGAGGGTTGGCCAAATTTCTCGAAGTTTTACTCTCTAGACTGCTGTCATTCGTTAGTTTTCGGATATGAAGGGAATTCAACATTCCGCGTTCGTGTATTTGACAAGGATTTCACAGAGATCAACTATCCATTGACAATGCCCGAGATGGAAGAAACCGATGAAGATGATGATTCCCACAATAGTTCTTGGGATGATGATGACGACTCTGATTGTCTTGAAGTCTTGGACAACATCATATCCCGCTCAAGAAAAACAAGGGACAAATCTCCATTGTCATGTCCTTGGCCTCATAAGAAGCACAGAACAAGTTCAACTGGTAAAACCAGAAACCAAAAAAATACTCTAATTACATAAGGAAATGACATTTGAGAAAATAAAATCTAAATCAGAAATAAAAATTGAACATTAATACGCAACATATGTTTCGCTTCCAATTTTTTACCTTACTATGCTTTCTGCCATTCTGTTCTAACTTGTAATACCCTACCGTGTCCTTTTACATGCAAAGCTGAGTTTGCATCCAAAAGACACGGTGAAGGCACGTCCAGCACTCCAAAACGTGCTCAAACAGTTCTTGGGGGGATGCATGCATCGAATGCAAGAGGAAAAGCTGCTGTACCTCTTCGGAGAGCTACAGCTTTCAAATCTGACAACCCTTCTTTCATAGTTCCCATGAAGCGCAGTTATATCAATGGACATTCTGTGGTAAGTTCTCTATAGACAACCATCCTGGACCGTCAAACTTGTTTGCTTATCGTCTTTTCCTTCATTTGATTATTTTCAGTGGCTGCCTTCAAAATTGTGTATCCACATGATATGTCTTGGTAAGCATTCTGGTGCCGTTACCCTTCGGGTTTTTGATGGGAGAACTTGGTCTGTTGAAATGAAATGTGAAAAGGCAACCAGACCAAAACTCAGATTGCAGTATGGTTGGACTGAATTTGTAAGAGGCAATAATTTTGAAGTTGGTGATGTGTGCGTACTTGTGTTGATAGATGACACCAAACTTGTGTTTCAAGTTGTCATTTTTCGCGCCACAGAAACTGCACATACATTCTCACCACCAGGTACGTTGTCTTTTAATTTCTGAACTGATTAATTGATGGAAGTGCCATAGAGATTAACTATCCATCACGTTCATCTTTTGTGATGTGCCTGCAGATGTTGACTGGGAACAAACGATGTCCCAAATGGAAGAAACTGATGAAGATGATGATTCCATTGAAATCTTGGACGATTTTCCAACATGCTCGAAAACAAAAAAGAAATCACCAATAGCACCAGTCTCACAAGAAAAACAGAACATGTTCAGTTAGCACAGCAGAAAACCACATAAAGAAATTTGGTGGCTCGTCTTTGACTACAAAAATAATGAACCGAAGAACTCTTCAAGTTCTTAGGAAGATGAACCCAGTTACGGCACATGGTACAAATAGAGCCCTTCAGAGAGCAAAGGCTTTCAAATCTGAATACCCTTCTTGCACAGTTGTTATGAGTCCCTCGTATATCCATGCACATTATGTTGTAAGCTTTTTATAGAGAGATATAATGTACAAGTTCTGCTAATTTTATGTCTACATATATGTGCGTGTTAGTTTTGAAACTGAAAATTAAGCTCAAGCAAATTACAACGCAAATCCTCTCCAAATTACCTGATTCTCTTTCTTTTCAGTATTTGGGAGCCAAGTTTACCGAGGAACACTTTCTTAAGCGGAATTATCATCAAGTAATCCTTCGTGTTTCGAATGGAAGAACTTGGCCTGTCAAATTAAGCAAACGTCAGAAAAACATGGTCCGGCTCCAAAATGGTTGGATTACATTTGTGCAAGACAATCATTTGGAAATTGGTGATGTGTGTGTACTTGCGTTGATTAACAACATCAAAGGTTTAATGGATGTTGTTTTTTTCCGTGCTATAGAAGCTGCACGTTGCAGCTTGTCACAAGGTAAGTTGTCTATTAATTTCTGAACTGATTAGTTGATGGAATTGCCGTAGAGATTACCTACCTGACACCTTAATCTTTTGTGGTGTGCATGCAGACGTTGATGGTGAAAAAACAATGTCCCAAACTGAAGAAACTGATGATGATGATTGTGTTGAAATCTTGGACGATTCTCCACCATGCCTGAAAGCAAAGAAAAATCCACCAATTGTAACACAGCCTCACAAGAAAAACAGAGCGGGTTCTATTAGCACTTCAGAAAACCATGAAGAAATTTGGTGGCTCGTCTTGGACTAAAGAATTAGTAAAACGAAGACCTGATCAGGTTCCTAGGATGATGACTCCACTTGCGCAAAGCGGAACAAATAGAGCTCTTCAGAGAGCAAGGGCTTTCAAATCTGAATACCCTTGTTGCACGGTTATTATGCATCCCTCGTATATCCAGGCAAATACTTTGGTAAGCTTTCTAGAGAGATAGATCATGTACAACTTCTGCTAGCATGAATTGAAAACTATTAAGCTAAAGAAAATTACGCTCTAAATACACCAAAAATTTAGTCTTACCTGCTTCTCTTTCTATTTCAGAATTTGGAAGCTAAGTTTGCCCGGGAACATCTTCTAAACAGGACTCATGATAATGTGATTCTTCGTGTTTCTGGTGGAAGAACTTGGCCTGTCAAATTACACCAATATAGCAAAACTGTACTGAAATTCCAGACTGGCTGGATGACATTTGTGCAAGACAATGGTCTGGAAATCGGTGATGTGTGTGTTTTCATGTTGATCAATAATACCGAACATTTAATTGATGTAGTCATTTTCCGTGGTAGAGAAACTGCTGATTGCACCTTTTCACCAGGTGAGCAAGTTTTCTGTTGGTTGTAAGTTTCTTTATGCTCCATTAGGTCTGTCATCTGCATAACTTATACGCGTGTTATTCTTCTCCGTTTTTCTGTCTTTGTTTTAGGGAAAGCTCAATCAATTTCCAAGGACCAGTTCAAGTCAAAAAATAAGAAAGTAGCCGGGTGGATGTAGTTGTTGAAGCTGAGTATTTCACCACGAATACTACCAAACATGAATCTGAATATTGAAGTAAGAGGAAAAAAGGCCTGCAAATTTAAGGATGTCCATGTCCTCCACTTGTTATTTTGATCACCCTCATAAAGCGCATCATCCTAAGAACCTCTTTGGTTGTTATGAATTTCAACTTCATCTTGAACACTACATTTTGGTTGTCATAGTTATGAGATATGTTGTCTTTGTGCTTAACCTTAACTTAGGTGAAACGAGTTCCCTGTCACCCTGGACTCGCGAGCCACTTATACAAGGCAATGTAACGAGTCTTGCACATTACCTTGAGTGACCATAGGCATCATGGTGGCAGTAAACTTGTTTCATGATAGTCTCTATCCAACAATCAATATTCCGTACACTATAATTTTCATCTTGTCTTACTTGAGTGTGTACCATTCTGGTTAGTTATTACTTGTTCGTGGTAAGGAATTAACACATTCTTCTGCATAATGGATTACTCTTAGTTACCGTCCATGAAAAAGAAAGAACGTCTAACAGAATGACATAACAGGAGAGACATGAAATGCTTTTTTTTCCCCTCAAAGTGATCGAACTCAGTAGCATACATTGAAAAACATCTCAAGTTCAAATGATGGGTCGGTAGATGGGAAAATATGTATCAACCCAGCGCATCTCCACATCACCTGAAAATATCAAAATAATCAACTTAGAGGTTGCGAAACAACTGTGTCTATGATAAATAACCAAAAAACAACAACTAAGGGAACAATTGAAGGATTTTCGAAACAAATAATACTCAACATACTTAATAGCTACTTTTTGGATAAAGTACTCAAATGGCAATACCCAAATCGAAGGTATGTCTGATACTGAACACGACGGTTCAAGATATGAGTCACAGTTAATTTATCAAACAAGTGGCGTGCTAGGGAGCCGTAGCGCGGACTCTAAGTGAGTGACTTTAATATATGTGATATGGTGATTATCCATGAAATCCTCATGTTAGTATAAATTGTGGATATGACATGGATTTACAAATGTGTTTTTCTACTAAATATTATTGCTTTCATATTTTTCCATCGATCTATATTTTCATGAAATGTGATCTGACTTGCATATTTGAAATGTTTGTGAACTTGAGGGTTAGTAGAGGACTGATAACCCGTTGACATGGGGAATTGTTGCATCGAAAGTGTCATGTCTTATTTCATTGAGCTGTTTGAAACTATTTCCTTGGATTATGCTCGGTTCCGTTGAGTGGTCCAGAATCGGGTTTAGCTGGGTTTCCATTAAGTGGTCTGGTTCCCTACTTTGTATTGATTTTGTTGAGTGGTTTGAGATCCATCCATATGTTTTCGTTTGGATTATGTTGAGTGGTTTAGAATCTCTCGTACTTCGCGATTCCGTTGAGTGGTCTAGAATTGTATCCAGTTCAGATTCCGTTGAATGGTTAGGAATCTCTCATACTTCGCGATTTTGTTGAGTGGTCCGGAATCGTATCCGTTCGGTTCCATTGATTGATCCAGAACCCAATGTACTTTGGATTTCGTTGAGTAGCCTGAATTTGCATCCCTTGGCTTCGTTGGTTCTTTGAAACGAGTCTTGAATGTCAAAGCTTAGGAGATGTAGGCTTCGGGCGAAGTGTGTCGCTCTGGCCCTAGTTTTCAGTGCATTTATGAATCAGAAATTCGGGGACCTTTGATTTAGAAAGGCCAATGAATGTTTGTGTGACTTCTTCAGAATTTTCAGTAATTTGACAATGATTTATAAAGTATGCTTTTTTTATTCATGTTTATAAGCTGTGGTCGATGAAAATATTTTATGATTACCACATACATCAGATTATTATCGCTCACACGAACTTCTCAGCTTATTCGAGTTGTTACCTTGCCCAGTGCACCATTCCCACGATGTAGGGGTGATTGTGCAGCTTTGTCCATGTTCGTATTCTCATTCACCGCATAATTGTTGTACATACAGACATACTTATAATATATACATTACACACACACACACACACACACACACAAAGATATTATTTATCACATCCTAATTTTTATTTACTTTCATTTTTGTTCTGTTCCTTTCATTGTATAAACTTAATTATACTAATTCTTTATAATTTTAGCAAGATTCTAAAAAATGCTAGGCACTAATCACTTTCACTGCACGCATACACAAAATTCAATTTTTGATTCTAAAAATGAAACGAAAGCACATTTGTCAGTCAATGTAGTTCACAAGTAAATAAAAACAATCGAATAGATTTGCGATTTTTACGATGATAAAGATTCCACCTGTCCCTCGTAACACGGGTGAGCACTCAGCCAAGAGGTAAATAAGGTTAATTTTGTGAACATACTGTTCAACATTATAAAAAGCAGGGAACAACAGAAAAAACGAAGGGCATTTTCTTGAAAACAGTGTTTTCACTTCAGTTTTACTATAGAGTAATTTGCTTTTCATTTAGTCACATAAACATATTTGATTTTATTATTTTAATGCTATTCTTAAACCAGCAATAGACGACCCGCCAATAATAAAAAAAATAAAAAACTTTGGTCAACCGAATTATTTTTTTGGCCCAATAACCCATATTTAAATATTATAATTATAGTCACAAAAAGTTTGTACAACTGTTTAATTTAGAAAAACTAATTATATTTGGACAAAGAAAGAATATATAGTAAAATTATTTTAATTATCTTTAGATAAAAAGAAAAATCTGAATGGAAAATTTTCTTTCAACATGATTTTTTTTCTTTCTCTGGTAGGGTCTGCGAAGAAAAACCCTAGAGAAAACCCACAGCCACAGCCACAAAACCCCTATCATCGGTTTGATTTTTCATATATATTTTTTGTTAGTACAGCGGTATATTTTACATTAAGAGGAGGGGAAAATCGGCTAAGCCACACAAAGGGCAAGCAAATGTGGTATCAAATTCGTCATCCATGAAATTCAAACCTAAGTCCTCTCACTTGTAAGTAAAGGTCAATGACGAGTTCCTTGTGGTCACTAAGTCCAGTCATTTCTGGGTTTTCAATACTCAAGACTCCATTTCCTTGTTCATCACTCATTCCCACTTTCTCTAAAATTTTCTGTTCTCTTAACTTTATTTCTACATTGATTTGAAGGACTTCATTGTGATCCATGCGTGTGCTTTTGGCCAACTTCGTCTGATGACAGACTTTTAAGCGACTCTTATTCGCTACTAGGCGCAGTTGGATCATTGAAAATTGATTCTTCTCCAGATGCCGACGGGACTTCAAATTCATTCTCATCACCCTTTGAATTGAAGAAAACCAGAAAACAGTAAATCCTTACACTGTAAATCCTTGTTCAGCAGCACTTGCGCCTGTGAAAATTGATTTTACATCTAGGAGTTTATGGCATAACTCATTGAATTGAGGTTCTGATCTTCATTCATTATATAGGCTAATAAAGCCTCAATGTACAAGTTGACTTTGTATACAGAACATACATATACGGAAGGTATTTTAACAGATGATTTGCGCAGGATATCAGTCAAAGGCTTACAAACAACCAGGGATTACAGCAGGGAGTGATCACAGACAATCAGGAAGCAATTGATCAGAGTAATTATCGTCCATCAGACCCATCGTAAGAAAGATGATTCTCAATTGTTCACAACCACCGCATTCCATCTGCATTTGCCAAAACTTTAATCCCATTCTCATTGGCAGAAGTAGCCAAGAGAGTGCCATCCTTGTTGAGGGGGATACGAGGGCTTGCCTAGGAATTAGGAGGGGTAAAGAAGATAAGCAGCTGGTATTTAAGATTCTATTATTTCAATTTACCTAAAGGAAACGAACCTACTGGGAGGCCTCCATCAGCATCAGCAGTTGTCAGAAGTTGAATATTGTCCATGTCCCAAAATTTAATAGAAAAATCATCACCAACAGCCAAAAACCGGTTTTTAGTAGTATTGAATTGCACAACACCAAAACAACGCTTGCGAAGGCCTTTATAGGTCCTCTTCACAGCTCCTTCACTTTCATTCCATTCAACAATATATGACTCACCGTCTTTACTTGTCCCACATGAAAATAGCCTGCAACCCACCACCAAAGAAAAACGACGAAAATAAATAAATAACTATATAGTTTGCCCATCCAGCAAAAGAAAAAAGGAAACTCTGAGCTAAGTATACTAACCTTGTACCATCAGCACTATAAGCCATGGTTGTGCACCAGCGACCAGGAGCATCATAATCAACTCGAGATCCCAAATTGTCATACTCCCAAGCCTTCATCTTTCCATCCAGTGCTATTGAAAAAATAAACTGAAGCATAGCAGCAAACAATGAGCACGAAAAGACAAGGACAGACGGGCACCAGAGACAGAAACACGTGTAATTAGCAAGAATGAAAAAATAAAAATAAAATGCCACAACACCTGAATGTTTTCCTTATAATGTGGGCAGACAGAATAAATTAGAGCCTCTTGACCTTCAAAAGTATATTCTTTTGCACCGGTTGTAGCATCCCACACCTAAATTTATGAAGGAAATCAGCAAGGAACAGAAAACGCTCTTCCAATGGCAATGAGACAAGCAAACATGTTAGGCAACTAACGAACCTTGATGGTCTTGTCATCCCCACAGGTAATCACACAAAGCTGCTCATTGGGATGGGAGAATGCCAGATCATTTACTCCACCAACATGTGCATCAATCTACGACAGTAATTTCAGAGTCACCATTAATACAGAAAACTAAGAGACAACCAAAAAAAGGTGTAAAAAATTGAAACAGCATCTTCTGTATATACCTCTAGGTGCTCTCGTACGTCATCACCCCCATGATAAGAATATATTTGAACAATGTGCCTCGAGTACGCAATACCTATAATTGTATTGTAAATGATACAATAATTAGGAGCTAATTCAATCCTCAAAAATTTATAAAGCCATATCACATTTGCCAGTTACCTAAGTATGCTCAAGCTTACCAAATAAAGCACCATCAGGGCTCCGAATCACATGGTTAACAGACAAAACAGGATCCTTGACTACAGCAGCCTATTTCACAAAGACAAATTTACTTTTCAGTCAACCAACTCATACATCCACAAAGAATACAGGGCACACAATTTTTATGTCACATGAACAAGTATAGAAAGGGAAAGACCTGCAGGAGCATTGAGCATGAACTAAGATCCCATACTTTGAAGTTCCTTACAACTAGTCGCTCCCTAGATCCAACTTCCCACAGGCCTACGTCCCCCACATTGGTACCAACTGAAGCATCACATAGAGAACAATCAACAGTCAATTATGAATAGTCTCTTTGAAGTTTCTCTCATCGAGAAACTGCAAGATCAGGAACACAAGCTCCATACTCAGGGACAAAATCTTGACCGCCCCATGTTTGATTCCAAGAAGCGGGTCGTTTGCAGTTCGGTTGTCCACATGGGTGATCCACATAAAGCGATTTTATTAATGGATTTCGACTTGGGCTTTTACAAAGCCCGTGCTGCCAATTTAAGCTTCAATTTACAGGAGGAGAATTAGTTCTTTCTCAGCAGAACCAGAAAGGTCATAATTTGCACAAATAATAGTTCCTGGTGTGTGGAAACTTCTGACACTGGTCACGAACCAAAAAAAAAATCCTGACACCAGACGCTGGAATCAAGCAGTGATGTACAACTGTCACCAGGCCCCTGTGCTATGTAGCAATGAACCATATACTAAATTAAGATTCAGGCACATGATTTAGGCATTGCAACAATATTAATGACTTCTTTTTGTTTCCACAGAATTCAAGCCATAACCACCTTTTTACAGCCACATAGACAATGTACGTAAACGATAAACTCATTAGCTAGTGCTATCAACTTGATGAAATTGTCATTTGAGTGCAAAGGAAGACAAAAGAACTCATTCCATATGTGGAAAAATTAAAGCAAGACCAGTATTTGCAACATCCATAAGTTACGATGAAGTGCACATCTAATCTTATATAACTGAAGTTGTGGTTTCAGAGTAATGACCCTTGGTTAATGAGAGTCCATAGCCTCAAACGCTTTAGGTTTGGGAACTGCAATTTATCACTGACTAAGGGATTCGCTTCAATCAGTTTCTTAAGTTCAACCGACATGATTGCCCTGGCAGACTTTGAATCTCCACACTTGGTTAGTTGTTCATTCTCCCCCTATAATGCAAGTGACCATTTTTTAGTACATTTGCTACAACTGTTTTCTACAGAGACTATTCATATAATGGAATTCTCATACCTAAAGTTCTCCAATGTTGAGAGCTGAGCGATTTCCTCCAAAAGTTCATCGAATGCGGCAAAAAAATTTAAATCCTTTACTAGAATATCCACGGCTTGGGACCGATCAGGCCTATAAAGTTCACAGAGTCACATTACACGTAATTCAACCATATAATTCCTCAAGACCGGCCATGCAATCCAACCCATGAAAGTTAGCAATGAATTGAAATTGAACCACTGTAAGCTTACTTGTCCAATGCCTAGAGATACTTCTGCTTCTTATCTCGAAAAAGATTTTCATGGAACAGCTGTTATCTTCCATTTTAGTGAACCCGGAGAGGTACTTCTCAACTTCATCCCAATTGCCATTATGCACCTCATCCTCAAAATATTTCATATTGAAGAAAACCCCAGATTCCTGCTCTAGCCTAATTAGTATTTACATCACAAAAGCAATTAATGACGCAGTATATCAGTACATAATTAGCAATTGTGCCACCAAAAACGCATTAATTAAAAATACAGAAATAAGCCCCAACTGTGGAGAGAAGTCTCTTTGAATTTTTCCCCATCAAGAAACTGCAAGATCAGGAACACAAGCTCCTTACTCAGAGACATCATCGTGACCGCCCCCTCTTTGATTCCAAGCAGCGGGTTGTTTGCACGTGATGGTGCCCGCGCACAGTTCAGTTGTCCACATGAGTGATCCACATAAAGTGTTTCTATACTTGTATGTGGTCCGGGGTTCTTACAAAGGCACGTGATTTGGGCATTGCAACAATATTATTGACTTCTTTTTGTTTCCACAGAATTCAAGCCATAACCCCCTTTTTGATAGCCATATAGACAATGTATGTAAACGATAAACTCATTCGCTAGTGCTATCAACTTGATGAAATTCTCATTCTGAATGCAACAGAAAACAAAAGCACTCATTCGCTACGTGGAATCATTAGAGCAATACCAGTATATGCAACAACATCCATAAGTCACAATGAAGTGCACAGCTAATCTTATATAACTGAAGTCGTAGTTTCAGAGTAATTACCCTTGGTTAATGAGAGTCTATAGCGTCGAACACTTACGATTTGGGAACTGCAATTTATCACTGTAATGGATTCGCTTCAATCAGTTTCTTAAGTTCAACCGACATGATCGCCCTAGTAGACTTTGCATCTCCATACTTGGATGGTTGTTCATTCTTCCTATAATGCAAGAAACCATTTTTTAGTACATTTGCTACAACTGTTTACTACATAGACTTTATTAATATAACAGAATTCTCATACCCAAAGTTCTCCAATGTGTAAACACAATCTGCATACACACAATAGCTAGTAACGATGTTTGTCGAAGATTTCAGAGAGTTGGATCACCAACTAATTACTAATCAACACTGATATTGCCTTCAATGTGCAATTAAGTTTAAGAACCTTAGCACGTGTGAGATTTCATCACAAAATGTCTCAGTAGTGGAACCACCCATTGCACACTTATATATCGTACATTATTTTATCAAGTTTTCGATGTGGACTTTACATTGTTCAACAATATTGCTGTTACTCTTTACTTTCTACCCTTTGATTAAGATGATTCTTTACCTCGACAGCGGCAGAAGTTGCAGGAAGATGGAATATTATGACAGAATCCTTCTTGAAGTACTTTGATTGGAAGAACTTTTTCCAAGGCCTCCTCCTCTTCCTCATATTTGTCATCAGCTGCCAATCTGTCCCTCACAGCACTCTCAATCTGCACTCCATATTGGGACCCTTTGATCTCCTTGGTCACCACAACCCTAATGAATTTCTCAGCAGGGCTACATGCAACACACAATATGATCAATGAACTAATTGGGTTAACTTAAAATTCAACCGATATTTTAATCTACTCTAATTTCTCAACAGGAGCTACATGGACACTACCCTGACCCACGTTTACCAAATTGGTATTAGGCTATTAGCCAAATGAAATATGAAAGATAAAGACAGAAACTTTACCAGAAATCAGAGCATCAAAGAAGTCATCATCTTCCGAGTTCATTTGCCTTTTTGGTCTTCCATTGTTGAAGATGTGACATAATTTCAGGGTCCAAGTAAACCCAAATTGCTGTGAACTTAATCTGAACAAAACGAACATCAATTTCGGTAATTCCCCCGAAAACCCCAATTACCCATCAGTAATTTTCCTACTTTGCTAATTAAACCCCAGATGTGTAATTAATTAGCATGTGAAAGATGATGGCTTTACCTTGACCCAGCAGAGATAATGGCTTGGTGGTTGTGATCTGAGGAGGAAAAGGGATTACATCCACCATTAGAAAGTTTTGCCCACGCGTTGCAGTGGAATTAGAAATTGTATGAAGAATATGTTTGAAAGGTATAAGAGACTGTCTTACAGAAGACTAACGTTATTTGCATTGAAAACGTTTTGGCAGACTTTTACATACAAAATATCTGATTGATACAATCCTCATACAAAAGATCATGTACATGCAAAAAAAATTAGGTGGAGGTTATTGGCTTCATTGAAACTGAATCAAAAGATCAAGTTTATATTATATAAGAGATCCATGACATTAGATTTATATTCTATAGAAATTTAAAGGACAAAGGCACTCCAATCAGATCCACGGTGCTTCAATCTATCAAATCCATTCGTACAGATTGATTACCTGATTGGTATTGGAAAGGAAACAAAACCCCCCAAATTTTTGAAATTTAGAGTAGGATGACTCGCTTACCTTCAGTAAAGCGGAGGAACACTGGTGGTGCGACGTGATTCGCCGGCTTTGAGAGCGAGAGAAGGCTCTCCCCTGCATTTTCCCTGCATTCCATCATCAAATTGAAGTTCGTTTCTATTGATTTCAGCTGAAAATAATAAAAATGAATAAACATTTCTAAAAATAGAAGTAAACTTCAAGTTGCAGACAGTTTGATTTGAAGGGCTTCAGCTGGAGCTAAGTAGGCTTACAGTGGGTGAATCAAAAGGATAAAGACACTGCAATTTTCAGCTTCATACCAAAGGATAGACAAAGCACGATAGCATGCTGTGAACAAATTGTTTAATTGAGCTGAAAGGAAAAGTTGCAGGACAAAGATATTCACCTATTAATTTAGATTAAATAACCATATATCTTCACATCATCACCAGAAGAGTTATTAAAGGAATGAACCATGAAAAGCCATAGGCATTCTATCAACAACATAAATTTACCAAGTTCACAACTCTGATCAAATCCGTTAAGAAAATCTACCAAATCAAAAGTTCATACAACGAAATCTGACTTCAAGCCCAATTCTTTATTTTGAAAATTGAATGCATATGAGTTTTCTAAGAAATTCAAATTTTGGTTTTGTTTTAATCAGTAGATTCATGCCAAGCTTGCAAAATTACCTGTGCTACAAATTCTTGTTCTACACCTGTGCCCACAGCAGCTTCTTCCTCTGCTGTAGCTTTCCATCTTGCAATTTCTTCTTCAGCAGAGCAATTGTACATGGTCAGCACCTTACTTCAGTAGACTAAAACAAAAACAAAATATGGTAGAAACTGATATAATTGTTGTGGCCAGGTAATTTTGCAAATTGAAAATACAGGTTGGTGCCAGCAATTACCAATGTACTTATTGTGGCAACAGCTAGAAAATATGAATGAAACTGATTCTCGGTGATCTGCAAGTATGGACTTGGCATGCCAACACATGAAGAACTTACGTGTATTGGGGATGCCAGGGTGATCGGTGTCCCAAACTCAATAACACGAAATCCATGTGGAAATTAAAAATTAAAAACACAACGCGACACATTATAAGTTTTGTGCACCGCTACATCAACATTCCAGTTACATGTAACTTTCTCTTCACTAGCACAGTTAACCATTGTGACCAAAATTCAGAAAGCACTCTTCATTATCATGGTATTGACATGTGTATTTTCGGCTCAGGGAGTTCATCATGGTGTTGAAAGTTGTACCTGTTTCCAAAGATGTGAAATCAGGCGCATGTAAGTTATACTTGGTGAAAGCTCTTGTATCAATTGCAGTTTCCTGCAAGCTTCCAATTTGAGATTTGTTATTCATTTGTGCAAGCAGGCTCTCAAAATTGTTTCTGTATGGTAATTATTTTCTCCAGAAGAATTTATGAGCAAGACAGTCCTATATTACAAGAAATTCAAGACACATCAAGGAAGCAGAGCACACCAAGAAGAACAGAGAACATTGTGAAAACAGTGCCCACGTTTCTCTATATCCGCTGCGTTAAACATCTGAAGCGTGTCCAAAAGTAAAACAGGGATTGGGAGTATGTATATTACGTGTTACAATTTACAAGTTAAAATAATAGAATAGGATCCCTGTGCTCAACCATTTCTACTCCAGCGTCCCACAAGAATTCTAAATTCTCCAAGTTCACAGCCAACTTAGAAAGGTTTGAGCACCCGCAGAGATTGAGATCTCTAAAGCATCCCAAATTACAGATATTGTCCAGAAGATGAACAAGGTTTTTGCAGTTTCTCAGATTTAATAACACCAGCCCTAGAAGATGTTCAATTGACAGGGAAAGTTCTTTGATAGATGTTCAATCCAAGTGAAGCTCTCTTAATCCTTCCATAATTTCTTCAATGCTTGGAAAGACCTCAAACTTTGTGCAACCAGAAAGACAAACATATCTAAGGGACTAGAGTCGACAGATGCTGCTTGGCAGAATCTTGAGATTTGTGCATCCTGAAATTTCTGAAAACTTCTGGAAACTTCTCAAGATTTGAGCATCCAGAAACATAAAGGTATTCAAGAGATTTCATGCGAGCAATGGTGCTTGGAAGACTCTCAAGTTCTCTGCAATCATTCAGACTCAAAGTAACAAGACTGGTGATATTTGAAATAGAGGCAGGCAGCTCCTTAATTGCAGTGCCATCCAAATAAAGGAAAGATAGCTTCTTCATAACCTTTGAAATTTCTGGAAACTTCTCAAGCTTTGGGCATCTAGAAACATAAAGGTATTCAAGAGATTTCATGTGAGAAATACTGCTTGGAAGACTCTCAAGTTCTCTGCAATCATTCAGCTTCAAAGTAACAAGACTGGTGAGATTTAAAATAGATGCAGGCAGCTCCTTTATTGCAGTGCCATCCAAATAAAGCATAAATAGTTTGTTCATAACCTCTGAAATTTCTGGAAACTTCTCAAGCTTTGAGCATCCAGAAACATAAAGGTATTCAAGAGAATTCATGTGAGAAATGTTGCTTGGAAGACTCTCAAGTTCTCTGCAATCATTCAGATTCAAAGTAACAAGACTGGTGAGATTTAAAATAGAAGCAGGCAGCTCCTTAATTGCAGTGCCACCCAAATAAAGCTCAGATAGATTCTTCATAACCTCTGAAATTTCTGGAAACTTCTCAAGCTTTGAGCATCCAGAACCATAAAGGTATTCAAGAGATTTCATGTGAGAAATGCTGCTTGGAAGACTCTCAAGTTCTCTGCAATCATTCAGATTCAAAGTAACAAGACTAGTGAGATTTAAAATAGAAGCAGGCAGCTCCTTAATTGCAGTGCCACCCAAATAAAGCTCAGATAGATTCTTCATAACCTCTGAAATTTCTGGAAACTTCTCAAGCTTTGAGCATCCAGAAACATCAAGGTATTTAAGAGATTTCATGGGAGAAATGCTGTTTGGAAGACTCTCAAGTTCTCTGCAATCATTCAGATTCAAAGTAACAAGACTGGTGAGATTTAAAATAGAAGCAGGCAACTCCTTAATTGCAGTGTCATCCAAATAAAGCTCAGATAGATTCTTCATAACCTCTGAAATTTCTGGAAACTTCTCAAGCTTTGAGCATCCAGAAACATCAAGGTATTTAAGAGATTTCATCTGAGAAATGCTGTTTGGAAGACTCTCAAGTTCTCTGCAATCATTTAGCTTCAAAGTAACAAGACTGGTGAGATTTAAAATAGAAGCAGGCAGCTCCTTAATTGCAGTGCCATCCAAATAAAGCTTAAATAGCTTCTTCATAACCTCTGAAATTTCTGGAAACTTCTCAAGCTTTGAGCATCCAGAAACATCAAGGTATTTAAGAGATTTCATGTGAGAAATGCTGCTTGGAAGACTCTCAAGTTCTCTGCAATCATTCAGCTTCCAAGTAACAAGACTGGTGAGATTTAAAATAGAAGCAGGCAGCTCCTTAATTGCAGCCTCTGAAATTTCTGGAAACTTCTCAAGCTTTGAGCATCCAGAAACATAAAGGTATTTAAGAGATTTCATGTGAGAAATGCTGCTTGGAAGACTCTCAAGTTCTCTGCAATCATTCAGATTCAAAGTAACAAGACTGGTGAGATTTAAAATAGAAGCAGGCAGCTTCTTAATTGCAGTGTCATCCAAATAAAGCTCAGATAGATTCTTCATAACCTCTGAAATTTCTGGAAACTTCTCAAGCTTTGAGCATCCAGAAACATCAAGGTATTTAAGAGATTTCATGTGAGAAATGCTGCTTGGAAGACTCTCAAGTTCTCTGCAATCATTCAGCTTCAAAGTAACAAGACTGGTGAGATTTAAAATAGAAGTAGACAGCTCCTTAATTGCAGTGCCATCCAAATTAAGCTTAAATAGCTTCTTCATAACCTCTGAAATTTCTGGAAACTTCTCAAGCTTTGAGCATCCAGAAACATAAAGGTATTTAAGAGATTTCATGTGAGAAATGCTGCTTGGAAGACTCTCAAGTTCTCTACAATCATTCAGCTTCAAAGTAACAAGATTGGTGAGATTTGAAATAGAAGCAGGCAACTCCTTAATTGCAGTGCCACCCAAATAAAGCCCAAATAGATTATTCATAACCTCTGAAATTTCTGGAAACTTCTCAAGCTTTGAGCATCTAGAAAAATAAAGGTATTTAAGAGATTTCATGTGAGAAATGCTGCTCGGAAGACTCTCAAGTTCTTTGCAATCATTCAGATTCAAAGTTACAAGACTGGTGAGATTGAAAATAGAAGCAGGCAGCTCCTTAATTGCAGTGTCATCCAAATAAAGCTCAGATAGATTCTTCATAACCTCTGAAATTTCTGGAAGCTTCTCAAGCTTTGAGCATCCAGAAACATCAAGGTATTTAAGAGATTTCATGTGAGAAATGCTGCTTGGAAGACCCTCAAGTTCTCTACAATCATTCAGCTTCAAAGTAACAAGATTGGTGAGATTTGAAATAGAAGCAGGCAACTCCTTAATTGCAGTGCCACCCAAATAAAGCCCAAATAGATTATTCATAACCTCTAAAATTTCTGGAAACTTCTCAAGCTTTGAGCATCCAGAAACATCAAGGTATTTAAGAGATTTCATGTGAGAAATACGCCTCGGAAGACTCTTAAATTTTTTGCAACCTTGTAGATTCAAGGTAACAAGCCCCGTAAGATTACTAATTGATGAGGGCAGTTCTTTAATTTCAGTACAAACTAAATAAAGCTCTGGTAGATCCTGCATAACATCTGAGACTTCGGGAAACTTATCGAGGTTTTTGCACCATGAAAGTTTAAGGGTTCTAAGAGATTTCATACCAATCTTGCTTGGAAAAATCTTAAGATTTCTGCAATATTCCAAATCCAAAACAACCAGGTTTTTGAGAGATGAAATGGATGGGTGAACCTCAAATAAACTTGTACAACTTCGAAAAACTACTTTCTCAAGATTTTTTGCCTCCGTGAAGTCAGGAGTTTTCTTCAGGTGAGGAGAACTTGTTAAGTTGATAATTTTCAAATTTTCCAAAGGCTGGTATAACACATTGAGGAAAGCAAGTTATATGGTAAGGCATCTAAGAATTAAACCATTTAAAAGAAACATATGCAAGTGAAGTTTTTACCTTGGCTCCTTCCCAAAGATGTTCAATGAGACTATTTTGCATGTCAAGCTCAACAAGATTCTTTGCAATAAAATTGGACGGTAAAGACTTTAGGGGGAAATGCTTCCATACGAGACTTCTTAACTCATGCAGAAGAAACTTTAAATTCTCACATGAATATCCATTGTGGCCGTGGATTTTGAGCAATCTTAATTTCGTCATTTTAACAAAAGCTTCGGAACTGAAGTATACCACTTTTGGTTTTGAGAATGAAAGGTCAAGGATTATGCTTTCAACAGCTTCCGTAGCCTGGATAACAAACAATTAAAATTATGTGATTGTAGATATCTTGAATCTTATTTAACATTATAAAGTTAATGCATGTTTCTATGAATTGTATTTTGATCAAAGTTAAAGCTGTTTACTCTAAAGATTTACATATGAAAAAGAAGGCCATGAACATATCGCACCGTATTTTGAGTTAGCACATGATGAACATCTTCATAATTCCACAACCTACTGCGTTTCCCAGGCTCTTTAATAGATTCTTGGTGGACAATTTCCCGACCCATTTCCTCTAGTAAATCATGCATCTCCAATATTTCCGATGAGACAGTTATAAGAGCTCGATCAATTAGAACTCTTAGCCCAGTATGGGGATAAAAGCCACAACTGTCCAGAACCATTGTTGCGTTGTCTTTTTCCGCTCCTTTAAAGAAACATGCAATATCCAAAAATATGGCCTTCTCAGAATCATCTAGTCCATCGAAGCTTGTTCTTAGCACATCATGAATTCCCCTATGCGGGATTTTCTTTAATTTCTTTAGCACATCTTCCCACTCCTGCACAGATTTGTCATAAAGAAAAGCCCCCAAGACTTTAAGTGCTAAAGGGAGACCTTGAGCATATCGTACAGCACGGGTTGAGAGATTGTCATAGTCTCTTTTGGGTTGCTTTGTTCTGAAGGCATACTGGCTAAAGAGTTCCAAAGCTCCATCACCACTTAGAACCTTGGGGCTGTAGATCGCATCAGCTGGACTTAGAACTAGCTTATCTCTAGTTGTGATAATGATTCTACTCCCACCACCAAATGAACGTTGCTTTCCAATTAAGGTTTCAATTTGAAATACGTTGTCAACATCATCAAGAACAATCAAAACCTTTTTCATCTGTAGCTTTCTTAGTATCATTCTGTAACCTTGATCCAAAGTGCCTGAACTCTGCACCTTTTCGTTCAAGATTCCAGATAGAAGCTTTTCCCGCATATGTACGGCGTCACAAGTGGAGAACCCTTCCTTGACATTGTAAAGAATGCAACAAGCTTCATATTGACAAGCAATTTTCTCATAAACAGCTCTAGCTATGGTGGTTTTGCCTATACCACCCATACCCCATATTCCAACAACACGAACGTCGTCCATTTCAGGAGAGGGTTGTAATAGCAAGTCCATTTCATGCATGCGGGAATCCATTTCAACCAAGTTATCGTCTTTACTTGACGAGGTGCGGATCAATTTCTGAAAAATATCGTTTACAATTTCCTTAATGAGCTTGACATCATTCCTGTGGAATATGAAAAACATAATTGTAAGAGTAAGGGCAAGAGCAAGTGCAAACCGTATAGTAATACATTGGCTAGGAAAACAGGACAAAGAATTTAAAAAATCCCAGATTATGAAAGTGCAATAACTAAATATTACTCGCAATTTTTCGAAACCCAGCCGGATAATTCGGTGGCTCGACTAAGAGCGGACCTCCACCTCCGCACCTCTTCCATGTCGGTGTTAGAATGGCCCTCATGCTCGGCAAAAGCTTTGCGGACATCAGAAGGATCCACTTCGTAAAAAACAGGCACCACCATCTGTTCCTTTCTATCCATACATTCTAGTATTTTGACGAGCTCCTTCAAGCACCATGTGGAAGAAGCATATTTTTGAGAAAAAACTACGATTGAAACGCGCGAATCTTGGATCGCCGTCAGTAGCTGCGACAGGTCGTTGCCCTTTCGGAGCCCTTCGGCATCGATGAAGGTGTGGATTGTTTTCTCATTCAGGGCTTCGTAGAGGTGGCTGACGAAGCTCCTACGAGTGTCCTCCCCTCTGAAATTGATGAACACGTCGTATTTCCAAGGAGAGCTAGAGGAAGAAGAAGATGCAGATGCAGCAGCCATTAATAGATCGAGTTCTAAGAGTAATTCCGTAAGAACTGAAACACTCAATTGATCTTCAAATTGGAGCTACAAAGGAAGTAACGAGTCAATGACGACCGGCTCACGCGTTTCTATCTGTTCAAGTCAATGGAGTCAATGACTCAATGATGACCAAATGACGTGTATTGGAAAATAGAAGAAACTGAAAAGCAAAAGCATAAAGGGCCACTACACAAAGCAAAAGTATAAAAATGATAAAGTATCAGAAATTGGTGGACCCAAGATTTGCTCCGCATAAGCCGGTGGATGCAACGCGCAAAAAAAGAAAAAAAACAGTGACAAGTAGGTACCAAGTTAATCCCTGAATTATCTTCCGTATGTTCTATAGTATTCAATAGGGTTCTATAGTATTCTATAGGATGTAGTACCAACTTAATCCCTGAATTATCTTCTCATAAATTAGATTTTTAAATTATTTTTTCAATAAAATAAATTCCTAAATTCATTAAAAATTGGTAATTTCATCTATACAATTATATTCAAACCTATTTGATCCAATCTTTTGTCAATTTAAGTCACTTGACACACTTTAGAGTGTAATACCATCATTTTCTCGTCTATAAGCTCTTAACATCTTAGGTAAGTTGTGAATTTAATGTCTAATTTAACCTTAAAAGTTAACTTACATTATTTCTTTATGAAAAACTATCAATTTATCCTCCGAACTTAACTCCATACATTATTTATCTACTTTCTAATATGTATCACATACAAATGGGCACCAAGTCCCAACAGTACAATTGGGGCACACATTACAAGGGGTAATGTCACGGAATGCTTATCAAGAGTCTACAGAAATAGATCTCATGATGTTGGAGCGGTTCAATTTTCTTTGGGTGGGACCAGTGCCTATGTGTGATGTGACACACCATGAGGCGGCGCAAACCAGGCCAGTTGGTTACATCTATCTTCTGTATATTCTATAGTATTCTATAGGACTCTATAGTATTCTAAAGGGTGAAGTATCGACTTAATTCTTGAATTATCATCTCAATAAAAATTAAGTTACTGAATTATTTTTTTAGTAAAATAAGTCCCTAAATTCATTAAAAATTGCTATTCCGTCCCTACAATTATATTCAAAACTATTTTATCCAATCTTTCATCAATTTAAGTCACTTAACACACTTTAGAGTGTAATATCATCATTTTCTCGTTTATAAGCCTTTAACATTTTATATAGGTTGCGAATTTAATGTCTAATTTACCCTTAAAAATTAACTTACACTATTTCTTTATGAAAAACTACCAATTAATCCTCCAAACTTAACTCTATACACTATTTCTTTATGAAAAACTACTAATCTACCCTCCAATGTGTATCACATACAAGTAACGTAACTTAAATTCACAGAAAATTGAATATAGTAGCTTCGAATATAACATTAGAGATGTAATTGGCATATTTTTATAATTCAGGGACTGATTTTTTTGAAAAAAAAATAGTTTAGAAATCTGATTTTCACTAAGGTGATAATTCTGGGATTATCCCATTCTATATATAAAGTGCGAAGGCCCCATTTGGGGTCATGGGCTTCATAAATAATAATTTGACAAAAATGTTCTTCAAACAAAAAATATTCAAAAATAATTCAAAATAATGCATCATATAATATAAAGATAATTTTATCATATAAAAAGTATTTTTTATAATTAATTTTTTTATTTAATCTCAGTTTACTATCTTGAAATTTTTTAGTTTTCAATATTTGGTATATGAATTTTTTTCATCCTAGAGTGATACCTAAAGTCATAATTTTGGAACATTTTCATACATCCGGTTGCTATTAAATTAACTGTTAACTGGTGATGTGACATTCACGTGAACAATAGCTAAGCGCCACGTGTCAATATGAACCCACCCAAATATTTAAAAAATTGATAAATTAATAAACTAATATAAAAAAAACTAAACTAAATAAATCTGGGCATCGTCTTCTACCTCACCTCACATGCGCTCCCACCCAAACCTCCCTCCATTCTTTCCTCTGAGCCCACCCAATTCCAACTCATCCCCCACAACTCCACCTTTGGAGAGGTACTGGGCAAGGATGCACGGAGAGATCGACTGCAAGAACCGCTTACGATTACTCAAGGGCTTCATAGTGGGCTTAAAAGCAGGCATGGCAACGGTCTTAGGTGGCTCATCAAACCTGGTCTAGTTCTACGACTTGCGGTTGGGGTTACCATTCAAGGAAGAGGATGGGCTGGGCGTGACATCGCTCTAAGCTATGTGAAGTTGCTCCACCTTCTAGTTACGAGCTCTTGCGCCAGGTTGTAAAATCGATCCTTTCTGCAATGGTATTTACTATTTAGGGGATCGACGCCTCTATAGTTTGCCAAAATTAGGGTTAATCGAGAACAATTGTGAGGGATGAGTCAGAATTGGATGGGCGCAGAGGAGAGAATGAAGGGAGGGTTGGGTGGGAGCGGTGGGTGAAGTGAGGTAGAAAACGACGCCAGATTTTTTAATTTTAATTTTTTTTTAAATTTAATTAATTTTTTAATTTTTTAATATATGGGTGGGCACATTTTGACACGTTGCGCCCAGTTATTGTTCATGTTGGTGCCTTATCACCAGTTAATAGCTGAAACCTTAATGGATCTAGAAAAGTGTCCCAAAATTATGACTTTAGGTACCATTATGGGATAGAAAAAAACTTCATTTACTAAATATTGAAAACCAAAAAATTTCAGGGTAGTAAACTGATATTAACCCTAATTTTTTTGTACATTATTTTTTTAATTAATACCTCACAATGAGCCAGCAATAATGTAATTCAATAAGTTGTTTATTAAATATTATTTTATCTATTTTTAAACACCTTCAAAACATCTTAAGAGACGTGTAGTTCTGGTTATAAAAAAGGCATTTCCACACGCATAATAATGTGATTCAATCAGTTGTTTATTAAATATTATTTTCTATATTTTTAAACACATTTAAAACATCTTAAGAGGCGTATAGCGCGATAAAAAAAGTCTTTCGCATATGTGCGCATGAGTGTGCAGAAATCTTTACCAGGAGCAACGATCGTCGCTGCAGAAGGCACAATCGACTCTCTCCACGTCGGTTGCGCATTCATCGAGCTCCGCGGCTGAAAAAACATCGCAGCAGACAGATTCAAGAATAACCGCATTTTAGTGGTCTCATATCCATGTGGTGGAACTAACAAAAATCTCTACACAATTGACAAAAGATTGAAACTAAAATTGCAGTTCAACATACCAGCAACAAAATTACTACTTCGTATATGATCTTAACAAAAGACACTACGTTGACAAGATACAAATAGTAAAGAAAGAAATGAAGCATCATCACATGATCACATCGTGTAACAAGCCAAACATCAATGTAGGGGTGTGATATCTACACATCTATTTTTACTTCTCACACACTGCTTATTAATTTATGTCTTTTGATCTTTTTTCAATTCATTCGATCCAACTGCCAAAAATTAAGAGGATGTGTGAGAAGTAAAAAGGGTGCATGAATAGCTCATCCCTAAATGTAATCACATAAGTTACTCCAGTGGTTTAGATTGCTCAATATAAGAAAGGAGGACAAAATGATATCTTAATACTGAGTTGCCCTAATGAACCTACATTGGTGTTTTATATTCTTGGAAGCGGACAACAAATTCTTCGCATAAAATGGAAATATTATACTTCTCTTTTCTTATATTGAGATAAGTAGTATTGTAGTATGGAAGATAGTGAAACTAACGTATATATCGTTCTATGACAACCATAGAACAAACAAAAGTGATTAGAGAATGGACCAAAATATGAAAGGATAATTAAAAACTGTTATTCAAGATCGGCGGTAAATGATTCAGCCATTTACAAGATTCAAGCTTAGGACCATAATCTAGTAGATTGTTGTATAAACGATTAAGTGGTGCTCTAATATAATTCTTAGGAATTTCATGGAGGCATATTGATGAATCGATTTTATACAATATATTTTACCCTATTCTTAATTATAATTTATTGTTTATTTTGGTGAATTTTGATACTTGGATTTATATTTTCAATGTACATTTGATTTCCTCTTGAGCAAAACGTGATCAAGTGGATACATTTTGGAGTGATTCCAATTGGAGGACGTTCGTGAGTCAATTAGTTTTATCGTGTCAAAAGATCTGATTCTTCCACCAAGCGTTTATTTTCTGACGATAAAATAAAGGAACAGTGTGGGTGTGATATCCCACATCGCCCAGGAGAGTGAGCCTTATATGTATATTCTCATATCTACCTAGCACGAGGGCTTTTGAGAGCTCACTAGCTTCGGGTTCCGTAGGAACTCCAAAGTTAAGCGAGTTCGTGCGAGATCAATCCCATGATGGGTGACCCATTGGGAAGTTGCTCGTGAGTTCCCAGAAACAAAACCGTGGGGCGTGGTCAGGGCCCAAAGCGGACAATATCGTGCTATGGTGGTGGAGCGGGTCCATGAAGTGATCCGTCCTGGGTCGGGATGTGACAATTGGTATCAGAGCCTAACCCTGGCCATATTGTGCCGACGAGGATGTCGGGCCCTTAAGGGGGGTGGATTGTGACATCTCACATCGCCCAGGGGAGTGAGCCTTATATGTATATTCTCATCTCTACCTAGCACGATGCCTTTTGGGAGCTCACTGGTTTCGGGTTCCGTAGGAACTCCGAAGTTAAGCGAGTTCGTGCGAGAGCAATCCCATGATGGGGTGACCCACTAGGAAGTTGCTTGTGAGTTCCCAAAAACAAAACCGTGAGGGCGTGGTCGAGGCCCAAAGTGGACAATATCATGTTACGATGGTGGAGCGAGCCCGGCATCTGGTGCAAGATGTGTTTTACCTCACAGTTTATCACATCGATTGGTTGTTCTGTCACAATTACATTGAAAGGAATTGACTTCAATTGCTTGTTGATCGTCTCACAAGTGTTCATGCCTATAGCAGAGTAAACTGCAATTTCTTGATTACAACTTTCAATTTCTCTATAATTGTGATTTCATTGTATGCAATCACTGTTATCTTAGCAATCAAAAATATAGAAACATAAATTTTTCCAGATAATAATGTTTGCATATGGACTTGAGAAACGACATACAGCCGCGCGGGAAGGTGCAATGAAAGAGAGCAAAAGAGAAAAGAAACAAACACGAAAGGACAAAGACAATATATTATAACAATGACTATTCAATTATCAATAATGCATTATTTTAGGTTGAAATGCTAGGATGCATGGACACGGACACGGATACGGCGATACGATACGATACGACACGGGGACACGTCAAATTTCTAAAAATGAAGACACGATACGTCAAGGATACGGTAATTAAAAATATATATAAATAAATAAATATATCTAAAATATTATAAAATAAACATTCAAATTTATTACTCAAGTTTAAATTTATTTCAATAAACTCCTAACAGTTAGAAAGATAGTCCATCCAACAAGCAATTAGTCTTCAAACTTGAAAAATTAAAATGAAAATCCAAACGAAAATTAAAAAAAGCAAAGTCTCATTCAACTTCCACATTCATGATGTCTCCTCCAGTAACTAAAGTAGTCTCCAATGACGGTTCATCAAGTGAAAGGTTAGCTATTTCAAGCATCCCGACACTTTCTTCACCCAAGTTTTCAAAGCCATCTCCTCCAACATCCCACAATTGAGTAATACCTTCCTTGTAGGTTGAGCTATTCCTTGATAAAAGACGAAGATTATTATGCACAAATACCAAATCCTCAGCTTTTTGTGGTGTAATCTTGTTCCTTCTTAAAGAGTGAACAAAACTATAAGTGCTCCAATTTCTTTCACAACAAGAGGTGGAACAAGGTTGTCCAAGTAGCTTCAATGCTATGGATTGGAGACTAGGTGTAGAAGCTCCATGGACAATCCACCACATCACTGGTTCCAAATGAAATCTATCATTCATAGAATCAATAGCTCCAAAGTCATTCAAGCACATAGAGAAAGAGGCATACTCCACATTGATATTTCTTCTAATTTCCTCATTGGAAAAGTATCTCTCAAAGCACTTTTTCCTTTAAATTGTAAGTTCAACATCTCGGTGTGGAGCAAGACGACTAGGGTCTTCTTGGAGCCATTCTGAACTATAATACCTAAAATAAAAGAAATAACAGTTTAAAAATGTACTCATAAAGCTAAAAATTAATCTAGAAGAATTTATAAGTAAGTTAGCAAAATCATTACCTTGGATTTAATGAATGTGCCAAACAATGAAGTGGTGTGCTACTTTTAGTCCATCGCTCCAATAAAATGCGATACACCGCATCAAAAAAGCTGCATTTTTCATGTAATGCCTTGCGCTCATTCCTGTATATAGCAGCTTTCACCTTTTCAATCATAGCATCCCACCACTCATACACCAAGTGAAGACAAGGTTTATCTGTGTTAGCCATTCTAATAACCTCATATATTGGAGCTGTAAAGAAAAGAATATAATCAATCTTCTCCCAAAAATCCTCATCCAATATCTTTTGCTTCACCATCATTGCTTTAACCAAATCATCTTCTTTGTACAAAGCCCAATTCGGGCTAATCACCATTTGTTGTAAACCTTCCTTTATTTCCTTCAATCTTCTAAGCATCACAAGTGTGGAACCAAATCTGAAAAATTTAAAAATTAGGACAACTTATAATTAAATAAGGAAAAAAAAAAAAAAGTGGAGAAAACAAACCTTGTTTCGGCAATGGAAAGTAACTTTAGTTTGCAATGTTCATTAAACATGGACAATCTCATGCTATGGTTCATAATAAAATTTTTTATGGACCAAGCATCACTAGCAATAGTTGAAATCCAATTGCAGTCATCGTAGGAAACTTCTGTTTGTTTCAGAGTACATACACTCTTCAAAGCAAGATTAAGAGTGTGAACAACATAGGGTGTCCAAAAGATATGGGGATAGTGGGCCTCAATAAGTAACCCAGCAGCTTTACAAACAGGGGCATTATCAGTGATCACTTGAACAAAATTTTCATGACCAATTTCTTTAATAGCTTCTGTAAGAAAGTTGGCAATACAATGCTTGTCTTTGTATTCACCTTCACAATTAATTGCTCTCAAGAACATTGGCCCACTTTCACAAGCTGCCATAATATTAATAAGTGGTCTCCTTTGAGCATCTGTCCACCCATCACTGCAAACACTTACACCTTTAGTGCTCCATGTGCGCTTGATTGGTTGGAGGCACCGCTCAATGTGACTCTTCTCTTGTTGCAGAAGAGTAGTTCTCAGTGCGTTGTAACCTGGTGGAACATACCCTGGAAGTGTAGAAGCACGAACATATGAGTTCCGATAGTGCGGATTTCTTGCAAGGTTAAATGATAAGCCACCTGTATAAAACATCCTTGCAACTTCGGCATCACATTGATCTCGAGCCTCCTTGTTAAAAGCTTTACTGAGAGGCCCACTTATTCCCTTTCTCTTCTTTGGATCAAGATTTGCTTCAGGTAGATCATAACAGAATGAACCAGTATTGGGCAACGAAACATGTTTAGGAGCAGAACTCTTCAACTTGTATTCACACTCTCGAACTAACTTATTCATTTCCGCAAGAGTTTCATCAGTAACCTTGTTGCAAGGCGCGATCCCATTTCCAGACATTTTTAACAAATGAAACTTGACCCTAGAGTAGGATCCTTTATAAGTTTTTTGACAATAATTGCACTCAAATTTAGTATTTCCTCCTCCTCTATTTCCCACTTTTTCGAGCTTTTTGACATACTTCCACAGCGGAGCATTATAATTTTCAACAATCTCATCCAGATTAGCATTATCATTCACATGATTATCAGGGTGATTCATTTTCCTAAATTAACAAACATATAAACAATAAAAGTCAATTCATCGTATAATCGTATAGACAAAGACTAATACATGAAAAATTTATATTAACTTAAGAAATAAAAAATGCATCATGAAAGCATATACATAAAATATTATAATCTAAATATCTAGAACACTGTATTCCCAATTTACATAACAGATTAAGCTAAATATCATGAAAGTACAATAATATCTAGAACAATGTATTATAATCTAAATATCATGAAAGGCTATTCCAATAGAAAAATGTTGGCGTAAGGATATATGGAGGTCCTTTTTATTATATTATATACAAAAAGCAAAAGAATATAAGCAAAAGCTTTGAGTGCTTACACGGACAGTGCCACGAAGCTGCATTCATTCGACTACTATATTAATTTAATATATTATATACAAAAAGCAAAAGCCCTTTTTCCAATCTACACATTGAATCAGTCAAAGCAATAGCCTTTTAACTTCGAAATTAAAAACAGGAAAGCAGCTTTCCTTTCAGCTGCAGATCCGGGTTCTGCTTCTGGGAACCAGATTGAGCTTCAAAATTACCATAGTGAAAACGAAGTCGAAAGCTCTTATCAGCAGTTGCAGACGGAGACTATGGAGACGACGAAGCAGTTGGACGGAGACGACGAAGCAGTTGGACGGAGATGACAGAGCAGTTGCAGACGACAAGTCTGATTTCTGAATTCTGATTTATGAGGTTCAAGTGAAGAAAAATAGGTAAATCATTATTTTATACCCAAAATCGTTTTGGGTTTTAGCCAAACAATCGTTTCAGTTTAGCTAATTGGAATCAATCACGATTCTATGCGGATTTCTTGATTTATTTTTTATTTTTTTTCTTCTGATTATCCTCTGATTTAGTTGGATTATCCTCTGATTTAGTTGAAAACGTATCCGAAAAGTGTGATACGCGTATCTCGACAGTATGATACGCGTATCTCATTAATAAATAACGTATCCCTTCATTCCGATACATATCGGGCTCGTATCCACACGTATCCTATGCGTATCCGTATCCCTGCGTGTCAGATACGGGATACGTTGGCTGTTACCCGTTCCATGCATCATAGTTGAAATGTGAAAGTATCTGAGAAGTAGCATGGCAACTACCACAATAAACAAAAGTGATTGGAGAAAAGACCCAAATGTGAAAGGATAATTACAAACAGTTATTCAAGATCAGTGGTAAATAATTCAGCAATTTACAAAATTCAACTTAGGACCAAGATCTATTACATCGTCGCATAAACTATTAAGTGGTGCTCTAATATAATTCTTAGGAATTTCACAGATGGGGGTGGACTTTCTTGGCAGCCAAACAGAAGTTACAGAGCAAGAGTGAACGTAATTACCTTCTTTTGGGGCGCCATGGAAACGATTGTTGATGATAGAGATTTGGCGGGGAAGGGGCGGGGAGAGCCAGAGATGGAATTGAAGCGGGGTTTGGACTTTGGAGGAGAGGAAGTTTCTGGTACAGTTGAGATTACAGGTAGCTGAAGATACTGCAGCAGAAGACTAGAGAGAGTGGTAAATTCTGAGGAAGAAGATGAGGGAGACGAGAGAGAACGGGAGCCAGAACATGCGAGACAGTGAGGGTTTCATTATTGAATATTGAAATTACACAAAAACTTTCAATAATGGATGTTAACGGGTTTTGCAGGTTCATTCAAAATAATCCGTTATTTAACGGGTTGATCAGTTAACCATCTGATCCGTTAAACACTCATCCAAATAATCATTTTAATTGGTCGGATTGGATCCGATTAACGGGTTGAGTCTAAAATGCCAGGTCTACCGTCCAACAACATGATGGGCCACGTGTTATTTTCAAAGAAGCCTAAAGTTGCTTCCACCCAGTCCACTTTGTCGCCTTTGGTTGGGGTCCTTGGGGACACTGTAGCAAAGGTAAATAACGTGTGCCGGCTGCGACGAGTGGCCTACTCGTAGTCGTACGCACCCACCACCGCCAGGAACCAGAAGCGTCATGATTGACAAACTGAGAGTTTAGCCTTCGTATCCCGGTTACTATTTGGTGAAAGCTAAGATTACCTTGACCTTTAAGTTCATGGTAATTGCACGAGATACCCTTTTGGCTAGTCTGGGTTGTGGGGTGGGCTGGGGATGTGCGAATGGCTTCTTTGTGAATATGGGCAGACAAAGTTTTCAGGGGGGGGCAAAGTTTACGCGGCTTCGCATGTCAATTGCAACGTGGAAGTTCAAATACCATTGAGCCTTTCGTCTTTTTTATTTTTTTTTATTTTTTATTTTTAATAGTAATTGCCCTTTGAGAAGTCAACCCGTTTGTGAACAGCAAGGGCAAGGCACTATTCAAAAAAATATTTTTTTTTATTTTTTATGCTTTGATGAGTTTGTTTCATGAAAATAAATTGATTGTCTGATTTCTATAATATATTTCAAATACAAGGAATGAAGATCATGGTTGGGTACTTATAGAAAAAAAAAAATTTGGGTTTTTTTTTTTTACCTTTAGAATAATCTTGGCTGTTCAAAATCAAAATTATTTAATTGGATGCCCCAGATTGTGCCACTTGGTAGCCACATAAAATTTTGCAACTTTTTATACTGTTGGAAATCCAAGGGCACAAGTTGAAGGAAAAATGAGTTATTTGGCTCTGGGCTGTGCAAGTGGGTGGGCCCCACTCTGTCGTCTCCTGTAGCCAGCGAGCGTAAGCCAGACAGAAGTTGCAGGGGTAGCTGAAAGAGCACAAGCCCTTGGCCCAATTGCCCTCCATTTTTTGCACCGGTGGACCACTTTTTTGAAGCCAAAGGCAATTCAATCCAATTGCCTTGTCACTTGGGCAACTGGTGGACTTGCCCTTAAGAGGGAAAGGGTAAGGGCATGTAAATTGGCCTTTGAAAAGTGATTACCTTTGTGTAAGTCCACCCTTTGAGTTAAAGGCAAGGGCAAGACGATTCATATTTACAAATGAATATTTTTTTTAATTTAAAGCATAATTAAGTTATTTAATAACTAGCGGATGCGTTAGATTTTTGATATGGTAGTGAAGAAGATGCTTGGGTGTCCATAGAAAAATATATAATATTTCTCTATTTTTTTAAAAACCTTTATTTGAAATTTTAAATTATTAAATAAAATTTTGAACAAGATTAATTTTGACCTTTGAATCTTAAGACCGTTCCAAATCCAACTGCCCATAAAATACCACGTGTATAGTTGTTGGGGAGCTGAGTTGCTTTGATAGCTTGGGGGCCCATGACAGCAGCAACAGTCAGCCCACCATCTCCCATCACGAGTCAAACCCCAAAAAAAATTAAAAAAAAGGTGTGGCTAACACTATATTGACATCAGCCTTGCCCACTGACACAAGGCCGAGCTCAAGCTACTCGGCTTTTGGACAGGCATGTATTGGCCCACCAATTGCCCTTCACCAAATGGACTGCTGGAAGTGGGTTTTTGGAGGACAAGGGCAAAGCAAGTGTAACGGCACTAAAGCTGCTTACAAATTTTATGATTAAGATCGTGAAAAAATACGATTGGCGAGTGTGTATAGCCGCACTCTTTCTAATGTTAAGGAATCTCCTACATCAAAGGAGATCAGTTCGTCAACAACATAATCTTCTCCATCAACTGCACAATCATATGAAAGTCAACTATGATATATGCTATGCTGTCTTTCCTATTCTATTTGATTAGGATTGATTCAGTCATTCAAGTATGATTGTATTTACCGTATTAGGATTGTATTCAAAGTGTATATAACCACAGACCTGTACCTATAATGAATTCAAGGAAATATATTAGTTCTATATGGTATCACGAGCCCAAAAACTCCAACGAGCAATTTTTTGTTGATCCCTCTCTTTCCCGTCTTCATCCATGGCCACTGACGCCGCTACACCCAACCCTCTACCAGACCTCAACTCCCCTACTCCCACCTTGATCACCATCAACGCTACAGCCCAACTACCTGTGAAACTCACACCCACCAATTACCCATCCTGGCGTGCTCAGTTCACTGCCCTTCTTTATGGCTACGACCTCATGGGTTATGTGGATGGTTCTCATCTCTGCCCATCAACGACGCAAACCGTGCTTCGCACCTTTTGGATTCGGCAAGATCAACTCCTCCTTCATGCGATTCTTGCTTCCGTCTCCCCACAGGTCATCTCCCTTATTGCCTCTGCCAAGACATCCAAGGAGGCTTGGGACAAGCTTCTCCATCTCTTTGCTAGCAAAGCCCGTGCCCGTGTTCTTGGTCTCAAAGAACGCCTTACTCTCCTGCGTCGTGAGAATAAGCCTGTCTCTGAGTATCTGCAAGAAGTCCGTGTTATTGCAGATGAGCTTGCCATCATTGATGTACCCCTCTCTGATGACGATCTCCTCCTCTACATTCTTAATGGTGTTGGCTCTGACTTCAAGGAAATTGTTGCGGTAGTTCGTTCCCGCAATACTTCCATCTCTTTTGAAAACCTGCATGACAAACTAGTTGAACATGAAGCTGCTCTCAAGCGTGATGATACCATTGTTACCGCCCCAGTAATCACTGCCAATGTCACTCAGACATCTCGCTTCCACACCTCAAACCGTGGCTACCGCTCTCACTGAAGGAAAATTTGTGAAAAACATGTTCATTTAAGCAACATCAATAGCATGCAATTAACAATTAAAGGCGGAATCATGCTTGTATGCACTTAAAACAAAACATTTACCCATGAAATTCAAAGCCTAGTAGATAGGTGAATCAAGACTCAACTCAAAACAAAGTGAGTTGAGAAATCAATACCTTTGTAGATTCCTCTTTGCATAAGCAAAGGCTAATCACCCAAAGAGAGGGCCTTCATTCCTTGCATCTTAGATCCATGGATTTGGATGGATGAAAAGGTTTCTCCAAGTTCCCAAAATTGAGAACCTCTAAGTCTCCACACCAAGGTATATTGTAGAAGAAATGAGTGACCTAGAGGAAGTAAGATTGCTAGCTATTCCCCTCTAGATTGGC